TATATATATCTATACTATATATATATATATATATATATATATATATATACATATAGTGTGTGTGTGCGTGTGCGTGTGCGTGTGCGTATGTGTGTGTTTGTGTATGCGTATGTGTGTGTGTGTATGTGTGTGTGTGTGTGTGTGTGTGTCTATGCGTGTGTGTGTGTGTGTGTGTGTATGCAATTGTCCATATATACTGGTACCTGCATTATTATTTCTGCGTGTGCAAGTTTGTATACTCATTTACAATAGTGATTTATATTCAATCGTGTATTCATGTTTTCGCGCATATCATTCCCGATGGACGCAAATTCCTATATGCAGAATAGTCATCAAAAAAATTTACACGTGTTCGAAGAGAAGTGGATGTCAGTCGCAGGTGTATAGTAGTTGGTAGCCCCTCACGCACTCAAGTGTTTTTGTATAGTAAACCTCGCATATTTCAATGTTACACATAGATCCGTGTAGTGTATATAGGTAAACAGTTATTGTATGCTCTACAACATGAATGCTAATCGTATCCAATACACATTCATAAAGATCTGTTATAACTGTATGTATGTACTCGAACTGTCGGTGCTGCCTCTATAATGTATGGGGACCAATTCAATTTTAATTTCATTTTTTTTTCCACACCTTAATACTCATCTTACAAAGCTATGATGAAGGAACACAGACGTGCACACATGAAAAGCCATACACCCAGCCAGAAACCAAATAGAATAGCTCACCGGATAGACTATCTATATGTTGCTTTCCTAGTGTGTAGATACTTAACCTGATCATATGAATGCCATATGGCATCTACGAATAGTTCACGTTACCATAGTTCGATCGCGTATAGATACCTTCATACTTGCATGTGCACATACCTACATCAATGTGAACAGGCTGCTGTTAATCATAGTTTGATAGGTGATGCATACACAGCATTTGTATTCAAACGTCGGTGACGTCCCCAGTGCATGCTTGTGCGACCGCTTGTTCCATTCAACACAGTCATATATTTAATATGTGTGTGTGTGTGTGTATTTCTCAGGCGAGGAGTCGTCTATTTAACTCGTGTGGAGAGATTGTGCTGCTCTCGTACACCTTATATCATTCGTCGCATCGTTGAACTGTTTGTTTTGTGTCCTTTGCTGCGTGATTTGGTACCTGTGTTGAGTACATGGTGTGTTCCTTCGTAATAATCGTCATTCTACAGATAGATTGAACCCTAGATACTTGGACTTATCCTAGGTGTTTAGTTAGGGTTGTGTCAGCGAATACTATACACGCATTCTTCTGATCGAGTCACCTAATCGCACACCAAACAACTTTCAGAGTCTGTCCGCTATACACTGATTCATCCATATACCTTGGAACGACACAGGGAGGCCAGCCACAATACGACTACAATTCACCACAACCGCAATACAACTACAACCAAGGACCACCTCCACAGGGGTACCCACAACAGCAGCAGCAGCAACAAAACAGCAGTGGAGGAGGGGGATACAACCCTAACCAGCAGTACTACGAAGGAGCGGGCAACAACGCCAACTCGGGCTATCCACAGGCACCCTACCCGCAACAGCAACAACATAATGTATACGTGCATCAGTCGAAGCCACCGCAGCAATCGAGCGCTGCTGGAGATGCTTGCTGTGTAAGTAGTGTTGAGTAGTGAGTAGCGGTTGAATTATTTGTATTTACTGCGGTTGGCGTGTGAGCTATGTGTGTGTATAACTGAACGACTGACCACAGGCGCCCTACCCTCAACTACGACAACACAGTCTATATGTGCACTAGTCGAAGCGGTTACCTCAACAGGCTCTGGCTGCTATCTTTACTGTGCGAAGTGTCAGTGGTGGGGGTTAGTGACGGTGAATTGCGTGCGTGTATGCTCACTTATGTGTCCCATTTATGATGTTGTTGTTGCGTGTGTACAATTATGTCATCACTTTTTTATTAAGAACGTCGCCAGTGCTTTGTGAATTCTCAAAGAGGTCTGTGCGTGCGTTTGAAACTCAACACAACTCACAACTATTAATTTGGTTATCAAATTTTTGGCAGTGTTGATACTGGTGTGGATAGGCGCGTATCCGTGGTATATTCTTACAAATTGCTATAGTGAAACAAGCAAGTGTCACCTATAACCTTGTACGTCTAACCCGTACTTAAATATTGTTCTATACTCTCTCGTCTGTTATGCAGTGTGCCTGCCTGGCTACTCTATGTTTATGCTGTATGCTTGACTGAACTGGCCGGGTCACTGAACGCACGTATCTCACTTTGGGCGGTCGATGACTACTTCAGTTTAGTTTCCAAATTTCAGACTCCGAATAGTAATACAAACTGATATAATATCTAGCTCAGGTTCAATATCCCTTTAATAAAGCTTGCAAACAGCACGCGGATCGATACTTTCACTTCCATGTATATAGTTCATTACAAAGAATGGCAAACTAGAATACATACGATATGCATACACAGCCTAGAAATAAACACAATTTCGCATGTATGAATGAACAAAAACCCATCCACACGGTATAAACATTACAGAAACAAACATATATATTTATATATATATATGTATGTAAATATATATATATATATATATATATATATATATATATATATATATATATATATATATATATATATATATGTATGTATGTATGTCTATATATATATATATAATGTATATATTTATGTATAAATATATATATATATATATATATATATATATATATATATATATATATATATATATATATATATATACGTGTGTGCACTGGCGCTCGCAA